CTCTCTCTCTTTCTCTCTCTGTCCTTTTAAATATATTTCCTAACTTGCAAAGCAAAAACAAAGCAAATTTACAAAACATCAATTTATAGCTTGGCGAAACTCTAATGAGCCTTCTGAGAAGCTCAAAATTTGTTCCCAAATTTCAATGAAGGAACTGTGGAAAGACAAATCCAACAAGATTCTCAAAGACTTAACCTGTGCATCTCATCAACTTTTAGCTTGGTGCTTAGCTAAGAGGTGGTAAAGCGTGTCTGCCCTATTCCTAAAAATCTGCCGAACAACAAAATTTGCCTTTGGATTTTTCATCAGAGCAGGGGCCACCAGATACATGGGACAGATCTCAGATAACGCAGTTAGACTGTAGTAAAGTGTAGCATCTACTGGATCTGATGGCCCTCTTTCAGCAAAACTCTTTGTACAGAAATGCAAAGGGTTTTCAACAGGGTGCAGTAACATACGAGGGCCCAGATGTAAGTTCTGAATCCCATAATGATTGCTTCAGTGGTTTTTTTGTTTGTTTGTTTTTTTCTTTTATGTTTTTCAGGTACTCTCCCCTGGGTATTGCCTGCCTAATCTGTGGGAAGATCATTGCAATCAAGGACTTAGAAGTGGTTGCTCGGCAACTGGGGATGTACATGGTCACGGTGATTGTGGGCCTCATCATCCATGGGGGCATTTTCCTCCCCTTGATTTACTTTGTAGTGACCAGGAAAAACCCTTTCTCCTTTTTTGCTGGCATTTTCCAAGCTTGGATCACTGCTCTGGGTACCGCTTCCAGGTAGAACACGCAAGGAATTACCTTTCTTTTTCTCTGCTCACTCTTTTATCCTCTTTGCCACTTCCTCTTTTTCAAAATCCTCCAATCACAAAGTTCAATGAGAACACTTTCCACATTTTATTAAAATATTTTTGAAAAAAGGTGAATCCTTTGTATCTTTGGTTCCTTCTAGGAACTTCTGATCTTTCTGGTGAACATTTTTGCTGGTAGGCAACTGTGCTGAAAATATGATCTCATTAAATTTCAAGGATAAATGCATGTTATTCATTTACATGCCTAATTTGCCACATACAGCATTAGTTTAGTTTTGTTTTAAATGTTTTCCAAAATGGTACAACAGGATGTTACCCTATGTAAGAAATTCTCTTACCTGTGATTTGAAAAATGCTGTCACAAAATATCATTCTATTGTAGTAATGTTTCAAAAGTAGGAGAATGAGCTTTTACAGGGTAAATGGTATATTAGGTGAGGTTTTTCAAGCAAACCAGAAATTAGTCAATCTCGGACCTATGTATGAACCTCTAATGGGTCATTCTGCTCCATTGATTTTGAGAAAATCAGGCTGGCATTGATTTGACTTGACATTGACTGGGAGTCAGTTTCTTCTTTATGACCTAGTTCTGGTGCCCCAGAAGCCCACAAAGCCTCCAGAGATAGGCAGAGAAAAAAAATTTTTTTGATATTACCTCGGACTGGATTTACCAAAAACAAACAAACAAGAACAAATATGTAAGAAATGCCCAGCAATTTATAATTTCAAAGACTAAAAGAGTTTTATTCTCTTAGCCTGCTATAGTTTGTATTTCCGCAAACATATCCTCGAGTCACAGACAAAAGACTGAGGTCATAAGCACTTGGCAGGAAGGAAGCAAACCCATAGCTCAGCGTTACCTCTGGAGTCACAGGTTGTCAGTTCCTTCTGCAGAGCCGGTGACCATGCACCACCAGGGAGGTGACCGCTCCATGACACAGGGGGGCTGCTGTTCCAAGGCGACTGAGCAGGCAGTCAGGTTTTGCTTAAGTGACCTAACAGGCAAATAGTGACTGCCTAGGAAGCCAAATTACATTTCCATCTTGCAAATTAATGAGACTGTGATACTAGTAGAATGTAGGGTTTCAGGAAAAATCTAAGATATATACTGTCCTGGGAATATAGATTCTGTACTCAGTTTCCCAAGGTGGAGGGAAACACTCCCAAATTTGCTCTTTTCTTTTTGGGGTGCTATCAATGTCCTATGGCTAAGTATCTCTATCCATAAAGATTCTCTCTCTTTAGTGAAAAAGTAAATATTTTTCCCCCAAATGTAAAAACAATTATGTTGAGTGTTAGTTTTGTTTTCTGATTATGAACATAGTATTTGCTCAATGTGAAATAGTTCAAATGATAAACAAAATTTTGAAGGAGAAAATGAACATCACCTGCTGTTCTATCACCAGTGATAACTGACAGTTACCTTTTAGTTAATCTTTGCAGTTATATATCTGTCCAGTTCTTACAATGTATAGATATTGTAAGCTGCTATTTTTAATTGATCGACATATGGTAAAAGTTATATCTGTCAATACAGATCTTTCTATTTTTAAAACTGCATAATAGTACACTGTATGTACTACAGTACAACCCCCATCTCTACTCCGTGACGTACATTTAAGGCATGTCTATTAAACTGAGCTGTTTTACGCATCCTTGTAAATATATCTCTGCAAGTTTGTCTGATGATCCCCTCAGGATAAATTTCTAAAAGTGGAATTTCTGAATCCAATGGTAAGCATATTGACAGTTTTAAAACATATCACCAGATTGCTACTCAGGAAAGTACATCAGTTTAAATCCCCACTATGTGGGTGTGAGTATGCCTTTCACCACCTACTCACCAGCATGGGCTATTATCAGTCACTTTAATACTTTCCAGTCTTATTGGTGAAAAATGATCCCATTGAATTTCATTGCTTTAATCATGAGTGAGGGGAAGCATCTTTCTGTCTTTTTATTTACCATCTTGCCCTGTCCTCCCTCACCCTGGGAATTGTTTGTGATCTTAATTTCCTGTTGGGATATTCATCCTTTCCTGATTAGTTCTCAACTCTCTTCATGTATCAAAATATTATCTCATATGTCACGTTAAAAATAATGTCCCTCTCTACTTGGCATTTGTCTTAAAAATTTATAATACTTTTTTCCATTAGAAGCTTTTGATTTGTATGTTGTTGAAGTTCTCACTGTTTTCCTTTAGTATTTAGAATTTTGATTTTGCTCAGGATCATCAAGAAAGATGATAAAATACTACTTTACGTTTTCTTCCAATACCTTTATGGTTTTGATCTTTAAACTAGGTCAAAAATATTATTACTTTATTTTCTTTGAATAAGTAGACAATTATCCCAATACCTTTATAGACTAGGTAAATGTTAAAGACATATGGGTGGCCCAAATTTGTGTTTAAGTCAGATAAATGCTTGCATTTTTTTACCAAGGTCACAAATGTTAGACCCATTTCTCCCCTTTACCCTGTATTTTATTTGGAAAAAAATGTGGTTTTAATCTTCAGTTAAAATGTGGATGTGGATTTTTTTTTAAAGAAAAAACTCAAGAAAAAAATGTCAGGGTGGCAGGAGTCACGTACTAAGAATTAACTGTGCCATCAAGACTGGAGGGAAAAAATGCAAAGCCCCGGGACAACCTGCAAAATATCCTTTTCACCTCCTTTGACCTGGTAGTGAATGGGGATGTGGAGAGGGGTTGACCTCTTTTCTCAGTGAGCACAGAGGCTGGTGTTAGGGAGGAGGATGAAGGGGTAATGGCCTGGGACACACTTCTCTGCCTCCCTCCAACTTCAGTGCATGCTATTAAAGCTAATCTAGGAGGGGAGGGGGGGAAAATATCAAGTATCTGATAGTTATTATTAGCAACACTTGAAGACGGTCATGTGGACATTGAGGTAGGAGCCCAAAAACCAATATCAGAAGGTGGGAAGGACACAAAAGAGTTAAAATGCTCAATTCCCAGTTTCAATTGGTTGGGTGTATATGGATTTTTAAGACATAAAGCATGTTCAGTATAGAAACTGAGGGCATTTTCATGCCTTATCAATTATTTCTCCCAATCTATTTAATTGTTTCAAGACCTCTTTGATGACATTTTGGGAAGATGGATGCAATAATAAAAATTAATGTATTCCAGTCCTCTTAGAGGACTGTCCTTAGATTCATACCATTGAGAATCCCAGCCAACAACCACAACTGAGCAGCCATTTCAGACCAGGCATGGTGTCCTGGCAACCCTTCAAAGTGGTCCTAGGAAAGGTCAGGGAAGGGCGAGAGGAATAAAGGGACACTAACTTCTCATTAAAAAAATGCTGGGGCAGCCAGCCAGGCACAATGGCATCCCCACATGAGAAGGAGACCAGACCCCAAATTCTCCAAACATTCATTTCTTCAGCCCACCTAAGACCAAGGAGGAGGTGTGAGAAGAGCCCTGACCTGATATCACAAAGCACGTTCCTTACGATGACTCTGGCTTCCCTACGGTTGTATTGGGTTGTTGGAAAAGTCATAACACATTTTTGCAACAAAAAAACATAGAAAAAATATGTCATGACTTTTCCGACAACCCAATAGTAGGACCTTGTCGACCCATAAGCATTTGATAAAATGCAGATTTAGGTGACCCTAATTTTAGAGTTTCTATTTCCTTGGTTCTGTATTTCATTGGCTTCCCTGAAACTAATGGTCTCTCCTGCTCTCTGTGAAACCAAAACTCTGCAGGTGTCTATGTCCAGCTTGGCTGGAGCCCTAATTCTGACTAGTTATGACTAAGGATATAAATGCAAGAGAGAAAAAAAGTACTTTGTTGGTTTGAGTAGGGGGGGGGACACCCAAACAAGAGAATGAACCACAAAGCACTCCCATGGCAGTTTGACTGTTCAGCATTGCTTTCCATGTTACTTAATTTTTGAAGCCAATCCACCTACTCTACCATGAACCTCTACCCACGTGGAAATAATATTCTGGCATCAATAACCCTTGTCTTTACAGGTCTCCTATTTTAGAAGACACATGAACATGTCAGGAGTTTTGACTTTTGAGGCTGGGTCATGTGGTCATTAATTTGCTTCCCACACCTGGAAGGAGTGTGAGTGAAGTCACTCCATACTGGGTCTTTGATTAGCTATCAAATAACGTGCTTTTCTGCTGTATGTCAGTCGAAAAACTGTAGAGTTGGCCAGTGACCATTTATCAAGGAGTTAGACTGTTGGTTAGGGTCCCCAGTGAATTGCTAGAAGCTCTGGTTAAGTCTGAGTGGTGCTTAACATGTTTGTCCAGAATTCTAAAAATTAGCAGGCCCAGCTCAGGGCAATTCCCAGGGGCTAGATGCAACCCATGTAGTCATCTTGTTGAAAACAGCATTTCTAGCATGAAATTACAGGTCATTCAAAAATTCCTCATTCCATTTCTCTGTTGACAGCTGATTCTTTTCTGACGCATTTTTTTTCTTGCAGCCCAATTAATGTGGGCAATTAGATGGGCTTCAATATTAATCCAAGATGGAAACAGTGACGAAAGGAAAAAGAGAACTTGAAGCTCTGAGTAGATCTCAAAAACCAGAACCAACAAAAATATTTTGGTGCCTATTAGAATCTTAATAAGATTGAATTTGAGCCTCCAAATTGCTGGTTTTTAATTTGGCTCCAGACACTTCTTTTCTGCATGTCACATTGCTTGATTGGAACAAAAGAACAAAAACTTTGTGGTGGCATTCCAGTTTGTGCTTTGTCCTGTTCCTTTACCATGGACCTAACTCTCTCTCTCTCTCTCTCTCTCTCTCTCTCTCTCTCTCTCCCTTTCCCTCTTTTTCTCCCTCCCTCCCTCCCTCCCTCCCTCCCTTAGTGCTGGAACTTTGCCTGTCACCTTCCGTTGCCTGGAAGAAAATCTGGGGATTGATAAGCGTGTGACCAGATTTGTCCTCCCAGTCGGAGCAACCATTAACATGGATGGTACAGCCCTTTATGAAGCAGTGGCCGCCATCTTTATTGCCCAAATGAATGGTGTTGTCCTGGATGGAGGCCAGATTGTGACTGTGAGGTGAGTGGAGTGGGTGAGGTAAAGCACTGAAACAACCTTTTACCCTATCCCCTTCCACACTAACTCCATTTGACAGGGGCCCCTTGAATTTCCATTCTCCTAGAAGAAAGCTGATGAAGTAAAAGACAGAGAAGAGGAATTATTGGCAGTCTCAAAGGGAAAAGATTGCACGCAAGATCATGATAACACCTTCTGTTTGTGTTGCACATATGAAATTGCTTTGGAACTTGGTATTATTTGAATTTTAATAACCCTGTGATATTGCAAGGCAGTTATTTCTATGCCCATTTAATAGATGAGGAAGCACAGGCTTCAAGGGCTTGGAAGCTTATCCAAGACTAACACCATTAGTAATGAGCCAGTGGCGCTGTAACCGGGGCTGACGTCATCTGTCTCTGGATCTAGTTTTTCTTTCATTAAAATATGTTCCTTTTAGCATTCCAGGGGGTGATGGCAAAAAATGATGAAATACTGGAAGGAAGAGATTCCTCAATACAACATAAAACATTTCATTACAAATAAATAGTATGTATTTTTGTTTATACTAAAGCTATTTTTACCATATGTAGTCATCATTTAAAAATTCAGAAAGAACACTTTCCCAAGAGGTCATTAAAAACACATTACTTCTCCATAAACTTAAAAATCACACCTACTTGCTTATATTAATTTATCTAATTCTCACAACCACCCTATAAATTATATATTTGCCTTTGTCAGCTCAGGCTGCTATAGCAAAATGCCATATAGACTGGATGACTGAAACAGCAGACGTTATTTCTTACAGTCCTGGGGGCTGAGAAGGACAAGATCAAGGTGCTGGCAAATTCAGGTCCTGATGAATACCCTCTTCCCGGCTTGCATATGACCGCCTTCTCACTGTTTGCACACATGGCCTTTCCTTGGTGCATGGAGATTGATAGCTCTCTTATGTCTCCATCATGAGAGGTCCACCTTCCTGACCTAATTACCTCCCAAAGGCCACGGAGAGGGGGGCTTCACCAAGTGAATTTTGGGGGGACACAACTCAGCTCATAGCAGTACTATAAGGGACCCTCAGTTTCCTCTTCTGTATAATGGGGACAATAATCACACATTCCAGGGGCATTGGGAACATTCTGTCTGCTACACAGTCACCTGCCAATAAATGTTAGCTACTAATATTGCTACTGTTAGTAATGTTCAATAAAATACAATGCTCCTAGAATATGAAAGAAAAATGTGACCGTGATGTAGTGAGGGAAAGCATGCTTCAGGTCAGAGTATCGAGCCTTCTAAACTATGTCCTAACAGATTGCATGTCAGACTGCAACCTTCCTTCCTTTAAAATTCAAAAATGAAAAGAGCTCCTTAACGAAGTCCCTTGTTTTGAAGCCAAGCAAAGATAATTTCTGGTCTCTGAATTCTTGGTCTTGAAGGCAACCACACTTCCCATTAATTTCACACTATTAGATGAGAACTTAAGAGATGGGAAAATGGACCAGTGACCAAGTGATTGGGATTCATTCATTCATAGAGTTTTCAATGTGGGGAGGAGGGAACAAGGGACATCAGGAGCCAGCCTGGCATTGGAATCAAGTCGACAGGTGTTCAAATCCCAGCAGACCATGTTCAAACTATGTGACCCTACATATCTCCACCCATCTGATCCATGGATTCCTCATGTGGAAAACAGGTACTACCCTATGAGTCTTGCAGGGCTACTGCGAGGTTTTGTGATCACCTATGTTCAGTACCTTGCACAGGATCCAAGAACCAGTGCTAGAGAAGTGAGCCAGGGTGGGGAAGGACAGGAAAAGCAGAAAGGGATAAAAGGGTTGAGGGGAGATCACTGCCCAGGGAGCTACCGCAGGATTTAGAATTGCACAGACACTCTGCCCATGAGGGCATGATTAGGGTGGAGGAACCAACTGCCAGGAAGCATTCTCTTTATAGGATTTGTCACACACCCCAAGAGGTGACCATGCAATGTGGCCACAGTACAAAGGGTTGTGTAAGAGCGACTCATAACAGAAGCCACTGATGTTGTGAATAAAACGGTTGAATCCAAGATCATTGGAACATGGGAAATTTCCCTTCCTTGGTGCTTTATCCATGTCAGGGAAATGGCTGAGAGTTCCCACCTTCCAGCCCTTGGGGCTTTAGGGAAGTTTCTATTGTAAAGCAACCTCACCCTGTGGAGATTTCCTCATAAGAAGAATAATTAACATTTATTAGGGGGTGGCAATGTGCCTGTCCTCTTCTAAGTGTTTTTTATTTATTAGTTTCTGAGGACCTCATGAGTGAGACACAGTTGTTATCCCCTTTATTACAGATAAGGGAATCAAAGCACAAAGAGGTTAGGTTGCCCAAAGTTATGTGGTTTAATAAGTGGCAGAAGTGGGATCTGAACCCAGGTCGTTCAACTCCAGAACCGTCAATGATAACCACAGCACGCTGCTGCCTCCAATGACCCAGATGAATCCAAGGAAAATGGAGTTCTGTAAACCCTGACACCAGCTTCATATTGGTGAGGTAGGAAAGAGCACAGATGCATTCTGTAGATCCCTGCAGAGAGGCGTCTTCACTGTAATAAGCCTAACTATTGAAGGATGGCAATATGGAAAAACAATGCAAACCACAAAAGAACCTGGAGCTTTCATTTCTTCATATGTGGGATTAGATAAATTCAGGTCCCTCCCAACTGTAAGATCCCAGGATTCTGTGCTTGGTCATATTGATGGTCTAGACTTGGTTAAGCCAGTTTAGGAGCCTGATTCTTTGTTTGGAGCTGGAGGAGCTACTCTAAAAACTCTAGAATGTTATTACTGCAAAGAAATCAGCCCCCATTCTCAATACTCAAAAGCAAATTGGGAATCTGTGTTTTCAGAAGCATCCTTCCATTTAGAAATGACAGCGTTTATAAATGACATCCAGAAAGGAGGAGAAAAAGGCACTGCCCTTTGCTGGGCCACAAAGGCCCTTGGTGTCGCAACAGGGAGCTTGAACCTTAGATTAAACCCTCTTCCAGAGACAACTTCAAAATGGTGTTGCGTGTACCCTTGGTATTGCTTGGAAAGCAAATGATGAGATTCTTCAAAAAGAAAACCTTGGGATTTCATTATTACTTTTTGGCACACTCTGAATAATGGTTTTTCCAGGTCCATGATGAAATGTCCAGGCGTCTGAAGCTTAATGTCATTTGGAATCTGTTGATTTGTTCCCCCACTGTCCACTCAGTTGGGTCTGGATATTTGCTATTTTGAGTTCTTATGTTAGTATTGGCAATGGTCTTCTCAGACTCTTGCCACATAGTCCCAAAGTCTCTGGTGCTCACAGAGACATAAAGGCCTCAGCACAAATGAATGCAGTGGTGCTCCCATGGGAGGATTAGGGGTGATTTGATTTTCTTCTTTAATATTTCCTAACCTGTTTTTAGAGCCATGCTTACCTTCGTTGAGCCCTATGATATTTTAGGCTAACTGGATATGATAATGGGGATAAGGTTCCAATCCATGAAATTATAAGCCTCCATCACAGTTGAGCAGAATCCAAACAGACCCTAATTCTTGGGTCTTCGTAGTCTACATTTCTCTATTTCTTGGGAAGGAAAAGGGATTTTGTGACTGCTGGGAAAATTAGAGCTTAAAATTACCGGAGATGGTTTTGGCAAGGCCTCTTTCCCTTCTCATGACCTGGCCTTCTCTGTTTTCACAGTCTCACCGCCACGCTGGCGAGCGTCGGCGCAGCCAGTATCCCCAGTGCTGGGCTGGTCACCATGCTCCTCATACTGACGGCGGTGGGCCTGCCAACGGAGGACATCAGCCTGCTGGTGGCTGTGGACTGGCTGCTGTAAGTGCTTGCAGATGGGGTTCTGCTGGGGACATGAGTGCTGCCTCCAGGGATGGGCAAGGTGCAAGGCTGCAGCCATGACCTTAGCCAATCCTCATCGCAGCTCCCTCGCTTCCTCTCACTCTTCTCCCCTCTAACATTTATTGAGGGCCTACCTGGGAACCAAAGAAGGAAAAGATGGAATCTTTGAGGGCCTCACAGTCTAGTGGAGGAATCAGCTAAATTATAATAGAGCTAAAAGCTAGGCAATAAGGAACCAACTACTGATGCATGCAAAGGACCTCACACCATTCGGTTGAGTGAATGAAACACAAAGAAGTATAGAGTGTATGATTTAATTTATATGAAGCTCTAGGAAAGACAATATCATCTCTAGCAATAGAAAGAGATCAGTGGTTGCCTGAGCCCAGCGGTACAGGTGTGAGGATTACCTGGGGAGTGTCATAAGGAAATCTTTAGGAGTGATGGAAATGTTCTATATGCACAGGTATGCCCAGATATCTACTTTGTCAAAACTTGTCAAACCATGCATTTAAAATGGGTACATGTATATAAATTACTCTTCAGTAAGGCAGATTGAAAGATAGCACATGCATAAAAGGATTGTGATAGAGAGAGGCGCCATCCTAGTCTAGGATGGGAGGGCAGAGAGGAGAAATCAGGAGACAGTGAGAATGGCTATTAAATCTTAGTGCTCACTATGTGCCACCTATGATACTGAACACTTTATAGCTTCCTCTTACAACTCCTGGAAGTTTGGTGTGATTACTCCCATTTTATAGATGAGAAAACTGAGGTTTAGGGAGGTAATGTGACTTAAAAACGAACAGAGATTTGACTCTAGGTCTGTTTGGTTTGGGAGGCCACCACATTCATAATCACAGCCATAGCCAAGCTTCTAAAGGCAGTGATAGTGCAGTTGAACTATCACTGGTAGGTAGAAGTTACCCAGGTATACCTTGGTGGAGGGGGAAACAGGACATCCCAATCAAGGCCAGCCTGCACAAAGGCACTGAGGCAAGAGTGCAAGGGGCCTAGGGATGGTTTAGTATTGTTGGAGCACAAAGTGTGAGGCAGGGAGTGGTGACAGGTGAGGCAAGATGGATAACCTCAAACGCCATGCAGAGAAGCTTGAACTTGACTGTATACATAGCTCAGCTACCTTTTTCCAGTGAAGGACATTTTCCTAGTGTAAGACACTCACTGCCCATTCATAAAGGTGGGCCAGTCTAGCCAGATGGCCCCCAATACGGAGGTTGGGAACAATCCTTGCTAAGGGACCATTCGGGCCCTGATGTTCTGTGGGATGTACACTGATGCTTCCTGTCCAGCCTTGGATCTGCATGGCAGCGGCTGGGGGATGCCATTGACTTCAGTGTTAGCGGTGCAAAGGAAGTGCTCGTGCAGAGGTCCAAGGCCAAAGTACCCACACATTTTGTTAAACTGACCCACATGCCAGTGACATTTTTTCTGACGTTCATTGGCCCAGATTTTAAGAGCCAGAGCCCTGTTTTATGGACTTGAGTTTCCTCAATGCTTAAATAAGCTCCCCCCCCTCTATATTCACCCTTCCAAAGAGAGCCGCATGCAAGTGGCTGATGGAAAAAAGTGCATCTGTGAAGGCTAGAAGGAAACCTGGTCTCTCCATAAAACTTGCCTGCCACTGAGGTTTAGGTTAGAAATGAGAAGAGGCTCCCTGGATACAATCTCCTTAACTCAGGAGAACGGTGAAGAAGTCAGGGATCTTCCTGACTCTTCTTTCATCACCAGAGAAGTGCTCTGGAATTGCCTTTAGTGAGAGGGTGGAGAGCACGTGAAATAACCTCGTATCTGATCTGCCAATTTCTCGGTTCTCTGTGCTAGTGTGGATGTTCTCTGGGCCCTGTGCTGGCCCCAAGGGCAGCCTTTCTCTTCACATCTGCAAACAAGACAGTCTTGGGGCAGCTGAGATTTGGTGGTGGGGTGGGGTTGGAAGGATTGGGGGAGAATAGAATGCAGGAGACAGAAGAGCGGGGTAGGATTTTGTTGGGGAGGAGGACAAAGGGGAAATGAAGACATTGGCAATAGTTAGGGGACAGAGCACAAAGCAGGAGCTCAATAAATGCATGTTAAAGTTAACCACAGAATGGCTGCATGATAACCAGGGGACTTTCCACACAAGAAGGAAGACAGAGGAAGCTAATAAAATCTTGTCTACTTCTGTGACTTTTGCTTACTGAGCGTTCCACCTCTTTGCCCCTCAAGCCTCTCATACCTGTGTTGTGATCAAGCCTGGCTTGCGTGCTTTGACGACATTGCCTAGTTTTTTCTTGGGCTTGTATCTGAGGCCTGAAATTCACCATTAGAGATTCATCTTTTGAAAAATTATTATTGTAGAGGCTGCCTCTCCCACTGTAATGCAAATGCCTTTGAGTGGAAAAAGGCAGTAATATTATGAAGACAAGGAGCTGATAGTTGGTGGGGACCATAGTGTTCTTCACATCTGTCGATAATCCTGAAGAGACCGATGAAATCTGGAATCTGAAGGACTAAGCCTCTCAGCCTGGGGCACCCCACCTCACACAGCCCCCTAGTTGGTACCAAACAGATCTAACAGTGGGGGAGGAGGAGCAGAGAGGTTGGGAAGGTTGGGAAGACAGACCCATTAGGGTCACCCCTGGTTCTACATACTAACTAGAGGATTCTTTGTTTGAACTTTTTTTTTTACCCCCTCCCAGGATTAAAACAAAACAAAACAAAAGGCCTAAGTGGGACAAATGGGGTACGATCAAGGTCTCAGCCACTCTTAGAATTCAAGTCTTTCAGCCCCAGTAGGTCAGCCATTGTGGGTCTGGTCTTCTTGGCAGTCATTTGCTTCCAAGCCTGTTGGGTGAGAGTCACATCATGAAACATCCCAGACCTTGCCTACTTCTGACCTAAATGTTAGCAAATAGAATAGGAGGGCGGGAGCCCTCCCTGATCACCCCACGCAGGTGCTCACATGCTCACACTTGCATGGAGAGCAGAGTGTCCAAACTGCAGGGCTGAAACGTGCCAGCAGAAGGGAGTTGGCTGAACAAAGATGATGATGGTACATTGGGATTAACTATATTGATGACATCGTATATGAGAAAACTTGATCACAGGCTGGCACTGGAAAGGAAGGAGGGAATAAAGCGCTGTCCTGTAGTTCTGGGGTCTGATCCCAGATGGAGGGAGGCTCTGTTCATCAAGGGAAGAGGAGCGAAGAGGCAGGTGCTGAGTGTGAGCTCTGCACTTACTCTCTGTAGGGCTTCAGGCGGGTTGTTTACTCTCTGGACCTCAACTGTGTCATGTGTTCAATGGGGACAATAACTTACCAGCTTGAAAGCAGAGTCTAGACCCAGTGTCCTCAAGTGCCCTTCTCATTTTAAGACCAGGACTAGGACTCTGCAGGTGATGGATGTTTGTATACAAATAAGCATGAATGTTCCTTTGAAGAAGAGAAGAAAAGGGGAGGGTAGAAGATCCTGGGAAAATGTGTGTGGAGGTCTGTAGTTAGGTCAGATCTGCTTTGAATTAATAATGGTGCCACATTCTTTCCCACCAGCAAGAGGAGTTCTGGAAACGCGCTCTCGGTCATGGGCTCCGTGGCTGTTGGGGGCCCGTTAGTGTGTGTGTGGGGCTGGGGCATGAGCCAGGATAGGGGTGCAGGGGAAGGCTGGTCATCCCCTAGTAAAGGAGCCTGTGGGAGAAAAACAGAAAAGGGGGGTGGTGGTGGGATGTCTTTTTCCTCTAGGCAAGATTTGTAAGCTTTCATAACTCTAGCAATTTTTCAATTTAAAACCAAACAAAGCCTGCAGTGACATTTAATGTGCCACAGTGTTTGCCAGCTGCTGGAGACCAGCCAGCCTCATTACTGCCCGCCAAGCCCTGGACGCTTTTCAAAGGGCAGGCTTAGCTGCTCTGTAAATGTCATGGTGAAAACCAAGATTCTGGGCCCTGAAGAGTGCCTGCGTCCTAGAACACCGGATGGGTGGGGCTGATTAAACGAGAACCTTCCCCAGCGTCCGGGAAGCCCTTTGTGTCAGGAATCCTTGGCAGATAGTTATTGTATAAGAGACCTCGCTGACACCCCTCTCTCTCTGAAGGAGATAGGATGGAGCGAAAACTGGGAGCCAGTACCAGGGAGAGGTGAGAAATAACTGGGTCTGGCCACAGGTAGAAAATGGAAAGCCAAAATAAAGTGAAAGCCAAGTGGATCTGTGGCCCATTTATCACGTGGGACCGCTGGCGAGATAATTTCTGGGGATACCTTTGCTAGTTTGAATATAGTTGAGATGGCACTTATAAGGAAGGCCTTAAAGGGCATCCACCCTGCAGGGGGTACTCTGAAGCCCCTCCATGGAGAGAATAGAGCAATGATCCTCAAATTTGAGTGTGCACCAAAATCTTCTGGAAATTCAGGAAGTCTAGGCTGGGCACCAAGAGTTGGCATATCTAACAAGTTCCCAGGTGATGCTGATGATGCACTCCAGGGACCTCACTTCCAGAAGCAATGGGCTAGAGATAGTGAAGCAGGGGCAGAGTTCTCAAGGGCGTGTATTGGAGCCTCTCTATACTTTTTTTGAGCACCAGTTGACAGAGTTGACAGTTCATGCATCCATTCACTGAAAATAGATTAAAAAAGACACAGCTACTACCTAGTGAATGCTCCTTGCTTCTTAAGTGTTATCCATTGTTCTAAGCACTTTACATGGATTTGTTTAAAAGTCACTGCAAATTATGAGGCAGCTAATAGTATTATCCCCATTTTACAGTTGAGGAAACTGAGGTTCAGAGAGAAGTAACTTATCCCAGTTTAGTGGATATTAGGTGACTGAACTGAGATTCAAACCCAGGTGATCTGGCTGTTCATTGGGGATTCCAGGCCTGCCAATTTGGATTCCCGTTTTCTTATTTAAGACGCGCGCACGCACGCGCGCGCGCGCACACACACACACACACACACACACACACACACGTGTGATTTAACCCTCATT